CCTGGGGACTAGTAGGGTGTGTATACCCTGGGGACTCGTAGGGTGTGTATTCCCTGGGGACTAGTAGGGTGTGTATACCCTGGGGACTCGTAGGGTGTGTATACCCTGGGGACTAGTAGGGTGTGTATACCCTGGGGACTAGTAGGGTGTGTATACCCTGGGGACTCGTAGGGTGTGTATACTCTGGGGACTAGTAGGGTGTGTATACCCTGGGGACTAGTAGGGTGTGTATACCCTGGGGACTAGTAGGGTGTGTATACCCTGGGGACTCGTAGGGTGTGTATACCCTGGGGACTAGTAGGGTGTGTATACCCTGGGGACTAGTAGGGTGTGTATACCCTGGGGACTCGTAGGGTGTGTGTACTGTAGGACCTCTTAGTGTGTGTGTACCTTAGAACATGGCAGCATGCAAGGCAAACACGATTGATGTTGTAATGAGTGTTGGTTGTATGGGTGACGGGTCGGGTGAGCCGGGCCCCCCTGGTGTGTCGGGTGAGACGGGCCCCCCCTGGTGTGTCGGGTGAGACGGGCCCCCCCTGGTGTGTCGGGTGAGGCGAGCCCCCCCTTCCCTGGCGTGCCGGGTGAGGCGAGCCCCCCCTGGTGTGTCGGGTGAGACGGCCCCCCCCCCCTGGTGTGTCGGGTGAGACGGCCCCCCCCCCTGGTGTGTCGGGTGAGGCGGCCCCCCCCCAGGTGTGTCGGGTGAGGCGGGCCCCCCTGGTGTGTCGGGTGAGGCGGGCTCCCTGGTGTGTCGGGTGAGGCGGCCCCCCCCCCTGGCGTGTCGGGTGAGGCGAGCCCCCCCTGGCGTGTCGGGTGAGGCGGGCCCCCCCCCTGGTGTGTCGGGTAAGGCGGGCCCCCCTGGTGTGTCGGGTGAGGCGGGGCCCCCCTGGCGTGTCGGGTGAGGCGGGGCCCCCCGTGGTGTGTCGGGTGTGGCGGGCCCCCCCTGGCGTGTCGGGTGAGGCGGGGCCCCCCCTGGTGTGTCGGGTGAGGCGGGACCCCCCCTGGCGTGTCGGGTGAGGCGGGGCCCCCCCTGGTGTGTCGGGTGAGGCGGGGCCCCCCTGGTGTGTCGGGTGAGGCGGGCCCCCCCTGGTGTGTCGGGTGAGGCGGGCCCCCCCTGATGTGTCGGGTGAGGCGGGGACCCCCCTGGCGTGTCGGGTGAGGCGGGGCCCCCCCTGGTGTGTCGAGTGAGGCGGGCCCCCCTGGCGTGTCGGGCCCCCTGGTGAGGCGGGCCCCCCCTGGTGTGTCGGGTGAGGCGGGCCCCCCTGGTGTGTCGGGTGAGGCGGGGCCCCCCCTGGTGTGTCGGGTGAGGCGGGCCCCCCTGGTGTGTCGGGTGAGGCGGGGCCCCCCCTGGTGTGTCGGGTGAGGCGGGCCCCCCTGGCGTGTCGGGCCCCATGGTGAGGCGGGGCCCCCCCTGGTGTGCCGGGTGAGGCGGGTCCCCTGGTGTGTCGTCTGCGTACTTGCGAAAAATGGTGGGGCGGTGTTTGGAGGGAGAGGGAGAGAGGGGGAGGGGGGCGCCCTCTGTGACGTAGAGAGTAGACCTTCTCCATGTATTGTGGATGCATGAGATTATATTTTTCATGAGCGGGAACACGATGGTTGACGTATATAAATGTATACATACACATATATACATACATACACACACACACATATATACATACATACACACACACACATATATACATACATACACACACACATGCATACATACATACATACATACATACATACATACATACATACATACATACATACATACATACATACATACATTCATACATACTGTACACCAGTTGATTGACAGTTGAGGGGCGGGACCAAAGAGCCAGAGCTCAACCCCCGCAAGCACAAGTAAGTGAGTACATACATACATACATACATACATACATACATACATACATACATACATACATACATACATACATACATACATACATACATACATACATACATACATACATACATACATACATACATACATACATACATACATACATACATACATACATATATACATTCATATACATTCATACATAGAATAATCGGGACCATGGTGGTTTAGGGTACACTGGGGCGGTGTATTCATCACATGTTCTTAATGAATATAACGCTCGTGATCGAGCGCTATATTCTTGTCATATACACACGCCACGCCAATTATTTGTTCTTCATTTTTGCATGACGCTAAACGTGTCGGAAGGAAGGTTGTATCTGGCAAGTTTTGGGAGAAACTGGTGTGAGTGTTCCCAGCTCGATGTTGTTCACGTGGGTGTTATGGAAGGCAGACGTGTCAGTGATAAAGACCGGTACTCTAGTACCTGGTGACTATCCTGCCTCGTGGGTATGAACGAGAAGTCATACACAGCAGCAGTCTTCCAGCTGTCAGGTAGTTCTTCCCAGGTCCAGCCCAGCCACTTGGACTGGATGGCAGAGCGAAGGTCTCGCTTCCTGTAGGTCCGTGTTCAATCCCCGACCGTCCAAGTGGATGGGCACCATTCCTTTCCTTCCCTCCCCCCCCCCGTCCCATACCAAATCCTCATCCTGATCCCTTCCAAGAGCTATATAGTCGAATTGGCTTAGTGCTTTCTCCTGACAATTCCCTTCTCCCCCCTGTCCAATGATACACGAGAAAACTCCACACCCCAGAGTTAGTGGTAAGCTTGGGCATAGATGGTGCGCCAAGGTGCATAGTGCTCCTAACTGTCTGGGTTTGAATCCTTCTGGGGTGTGGAGTTTTCAGTTATACACACATATATATATATATATATATATATATATATATATATATATATATATATATATATATATATATATATATATATATATATATATATATATATATATATATATATATAAATATAGACGGGTACTAGCAGTACCCGGCGACGCATTGCTGTGGTTCAGCAACGCATGTGCGTTGCTGAACCACAGCAACTTTCCCTGTCTCCCAGTCCTTCCCAGCATTCCCCCCCTCACCCGTCTCCTCGGCCTCCCGACCATTCCCCACTCCACCGTCCCCTCGTCCTCCCCACCATTCCCGACCCCACCATCTCCTCTTCCTTCCCACCATGCCCCACTCCCCTGTCCCTTTGTTCTCCCCACCATTCTCCATTCCCCCACCTCCTCGTCCCCACCATCCCAAACTCCCCCGTCCCCTCATTTCGTCCCCTCGTCCTTCCCCACCATTACCCCCTCCCCACCATCTCTCACTTCCGTCCCCTCGTAATCCCTACCATTGGGAACAAAATTGGGAACATAAAGTGATCTGATGTTCACATCACTGAAATATAAGAAAAATAGTTAAAAATGAAATGAAAATATGAAAAAAAATAAAATTAACCTATACTCACAAAATGAACGATATGGTAAACAACACAGCTCAATTCCAACACAATTCACACAAAATAATTAAATCAACATGAAAATAAATCAAAATCTATAAAAATTCAATATATCAATGCAATCAGAAACATTGAAATGGAATTGTAACATATTTTGTATAGCATGTGTCCTGCTCTTGCATCCAACAGATGGCGTTGTTTTTCAAGAAAAACATAGTTTTACCTGTCACAGGTGTGGCATCTATACTTATACTTACGAAATGAACGGTATGGTAAACAACACAGCTCAATTCCAACACAATGTCACAAAAAATAATTGAATCAAAAATAAAATAAATCGAAATCTATGAAAATAAAATTTATCAATGCAATTGGAAAATTGAAATGGAATTCGTGACATATTTAGTATAGCGTGCATGTTGCTATTATGGGCAACAGATGGCGCTGTTTTTCAAAAACGCATGTTTTTACCTGTCACAGGCGTGGCATCTATATAGTAGGTATATAAAAAGACGCCTATTCGAATGCAACGTTGTGTCAAAATTTTAAAGCAATCGGTGAAGAACTTTCGGAGATTACAGCTTGCATTACTCTTACGCCCAACAGATGACGCTATTTAAAAAAAAAAGTTTTTTTTCCTGTCACAGGTGAAGCATGTATATAGTAGATATATAAAAAGACGCGTCTATTCGAATGCAACGTTGTGTCAAAAATTCAAAGCAATCTGTAAAAAGGTTTCGAAGATTTCCCTCACATGAAAAACAGTTTTTCAGAAAATGCATGTTTTTTACCGTCACAGACGTGATATCTATATAGTACGTATATAAAAACCTGCTCGGATGTGAATGGAACGTTGTGTGAAAATTTAAGGCAGTGTCTGCATCACTTTGCTCTGGTAAGTTCCATCTTTTTTCTCTGTGGTTATTTACCAAGAGGGAGCTACTATATGGGCTACACTAGAAATCCGGTGTTGAATGTAATGAAACACTTCTTTCTGGTGGAGTCCCGGCAGGTCCCTGTCTCCCTCCCTGCCGTCCAAGTGCACTGGTTCGTTGTGGTGTTTTATCTGCTACAGAGCTGATTTGATTGCTTCCGCTGAACTGAGTTCTGTGTCATCCCGGATGGCGGTATTCAGTACAAATGGGTTCTAACTAGTTTCGTGTGGTTTCCTTTGTTTATCTTGAATAATTTGGAGAGTTGTTTACCTGTTTCGTGACTTTGAGTCTTGAGAACCCAGCAGGTGTCTGTAAAGTTTCGCCGAATTTCTGGATGCTTTCCCGGTGAAATGACGGAATGTCATTTGCCTTCTGCACCTTGTGTGAGGAGCCAGGTTTTAGGTTTTAGCTCTGGTCCTTGGTGGGTCAAATAGAACTCATGCAACTGATGTGACTTGTTGAATTGTGCAATATCAGTGAGATAACTACAGGACGCCACAATGGGGCTTCCCTTGAAAGTATATACTTATAATATAAAATAAACTAGATATAAGTGTAACACTCGTGGTCACGAATCTGGGGAGTATGTGAATGTTAAACTGAAACACGTATGGTTAGTTATTCCAGCTTTAGTCATAAGCAGTCTCATTAGTTGATATTTCAAAACTGTTGATGGTGCTCAGGGGGAAGATTAAGTGTATAAGCTTCGATAATAAAACTCACTTCAAAAATTTTCAGGACTTTATTCACACGCTGTACAGAACTGACCTTGGAATACCACTCACACACGATCACAGGCTCTCCCCTTCCTTGACTGCTTCTTAAATCACATTTCCTATAATTTTGAAGTCTTTTGATGTTATTACTTTGACTTACAATTGATGACATGATAACTCATTTAGAGCTGTTCACTTCAGTTCCCATGCAAAGTTTAAGAGATAAATAAGATGACGGAACAGCTTGGAATGCTCTACCTGAACTTAATCAATACATTATTACATTTTAGTTAGAAATGCATAATAGAAACAAAATGTGGTTCTGTTTGTAGTCTACATAAATATTTTTTACAAGGTATATTAAAAAAAAGAATGACCACGTATTTTTCAGAAGAAAGTGCTAAGCCATTATGAACATACTGCACGAGAGAAAGAGAGAGATATGAGTTTGAGAGAGGGAAACGAGAGGTAGAAATTGAAGCTAGATTCAAAGTTTTAGGCATTCATGAATTCCGAACCACAGTATATTTATGTATTAAATTAAAATATATTTACATTGAATTACAAGTGTTTGTATTGAATAATCTTATAAATCTGAAGAAAACTTGCAAAACAGTGGGTCAAAATTTCTTACATCTTGAAAGAGCTTTGAAAATATTTAATTTGTTTTCAAATTTATTTATTCCTGCTCTGATAAGATCTGACTTCATTGCCGTATCTCTGACTTTAAAATATACATGTAATTATTTGAGTTTTAAAGGAACTAATAAAATATCATGATAAAGTACTACTTTACACATATATATTGAAAGACATTGGACGGGCCGAGCCTTTGTTTACGAAGGATTAGGCAGTTGTAAATCATCAGCAAGTGTTGAGCACCGCTCCAGGCTCCCTCACTGCTGTACGCCACCTTTATAACAACATTCTTATGTATATAGTTTATCTTGCTTGCAGAATCATGATTTACCGCCAGAAATTGAATTGGACCAAGTTTGAATTTAACTGTTTTCCTTCACATATGGAACTATTACATTATTCTCAGCGTCAGCTGGTTCGTCTTGGAGTGACGGTACGCACCATGGATCAGCGGGACGGTGGTTGACGAAGCAGTCGGTATGAAAACGAGCGCAGAGGTGCCTCGGTATTCAAAAGTAAATAGTAGTAAAAAAAAGTACTTAAAATTGTTGCCGTTCGGCTCAACCAGTGCTGTTGTGCGCTGCATCACTCCGGGACGAAGGTAAATGAGTTGGCTCTGATTTATATACACGAGGTTAACAATGTCAGGGCGACCGTGTTGTGATGGCGTCTTTGGATGGTTGAGTGCTGTCTTGTGAACCTGGCAGGGTGGTGGATGCTATGGATGAAGGAGGTGTGGTGGAAGATGTTGAGGCTATGGAAGATGTAGGCGCAGGTGTGTCAGGTGTGGGTGACGGAGTTGTCGTGAGTAGAACCTTCAGAATTCTGGCTACGGTGTATGCGCGTAGCGCAGAGCGGGAAGTGCCGCCGCTGGTGTTGTTACTGCTGGTGATAATGGCGGGAACAGAGCGGTCTGCCGGGTCCTCTTTCTTGATCCACGAGGACCTCGATGCGACGAGGAGGGCGATGGTGAGAACGATGGTGACGATGAAGGTGCATCCCGCCATGGTGAAGAGGACACACGTCCCCGAACTGGTGCCGTTCTTCTGAATGGTGGAGTAGATGGCGATCGACGTGGGCGTCAGTACGGGCTTAGCCTTGTCATCCTGCTGGTGCAACGGACGTCTGGGCTTGGAGATCTCCTCCTCCAAGGAGAGTTCAGTGTCGTCCGTGACAGAGCTGGTGGAGGCGACGGCGTGCGAGGGGACCATCTTGCTTGTGCTCGCACCTGTAGAACACATGTCAGGGGTTACTATTAACACCCGTTAATAAGAATGTTAATAAATTCACGTGAAGCTTCTGGCCCATGCATTTAATTATGATTTATTTTTTGGATGAGAGGGGTGGGGGGGGGGGGGGGTATTTGTCGTGTTATGTCCATTTGTAATGTGATTAGTTATATTTTAGATCACAATGAGTTAGTATGTGCCTAAGAAAATCCATCTGAGTGGAGATGTAGTAATATAGTGACTAGGTTTTCCAGCTGAATATAATGTGAGAAACGAGGGGTTATTGTTTCATAGATATTATCCCTAGGGTAGCTGTGGCATAAATGATCGGAGTCATAATGTGCTTCAACAGTACAAGAGTGGTACAGTGTAAAATGAAGGTCCTGTATGACATAGTTGGACAATCAAATACATATAATAAAATGTGTAACATTATTGCCAAAATGCCACTCATTGAGGCACCAGAACTCGTTAGTGTTTTAGTTAATATAAAGTGTAGTTTTATTGTGATGTGAATATTTTTAACTCGTGCATGTAATATATAAACGATAAATTTTACTAGTAATTAGTATAATGCGCTGCATAATTATTTGCTTGGTATTCAATACATAATAAGTTATTCCAGCTTGTTTTTCATGGTTGCCAATCTTCGTTGCGAAATGCTCCTATTATGTTATTAATACAAGTTATAATAATTTGATTATTTCATGTTTGCGAATGGCTATTGAAGAGGAAGCAAAGAATAATTTGCTCTTTAGATTGGTATATAGACTGCAGGCTTCACATGGAAAAATTTAAATAAAGTTGTGAATGGGTAAAGAAAGTCGAGCGAATTTCCACGGGCATGTAGTAAGTGTGTTCAGCTCGATCACGATTCTCAAAGCACTTACGAGATTTATACGTCTTATGACAATCATGGTGGCATTCACTAAGAGGAGTTTGCGAACTCGGAGGCACTGCGAATTCGATCTCAACCCAAGTTTATTATTGTAATGGAAGAATTCTTAGCGCTTCGGAGGGTCTATTACTTCGGATCTATTACTTAAATGAATAATAAACTGTTATGATCGTGGTTAAAAAAACAGATATCTTAAGTTTTTTTTTTTTTTTTGGGGGGGGGGGGGGAATCCTGGCCTAGTTGGGTCCTGGCCTAGTTGATCCTGGCCTAGTTGATCCTGACCTAGTTGATCCTGGTCTAGTTGATCCTGGCCTAGTTGATCCTGGCCTAGTTGATATTGGTTTAGTTGATCCTGGCCTAGTTGATCCTGGCCTAGCTGGATCCTGGCCTAGCTGGATCCTGGCCTAGTTGGATCCTGGCCTAGTTGATCCTGGCTTAGTTGGATCCTGGCTTAGTTGGATCCTGGCCTAGTTGATCCTGGCCTAGTTGGATCCTGGCCTAGTTGATCCTGGCCTAGTTGGATCCTGGACTAGTTGATCCTGGCCTAGTTGGATCCTGGCCTAGTTGATCCTGGCCTAGTTGGATCCTGGCCTAGTTGATCCTGGCTTAGTTGGATCCTGGCTTAGTTGGATCCTGGCCTAGTTGATCCTGGCCTAGTTGGATCCTGACCTAGATGGATCCTGGCTTAGTTGGATCCTGGCCTAGTTGGATCCTGGCCTAGTTGATCCTGGCTTAGTTGGATCCTGACCTAGATGGATCCTGGCTTAGTTGGATCCTGGCTTAGTTGGATCCTGGCCTAGTTGGATCCTGACTTAGTTGGATCCTGGCTTAGTTGGATCTTCGCTTAGTTGGGTCCTGGCCTAGTTGATCCTGGCTTAGTTGGATCCTGGCCTAGTTGATCCTGGCCTAGTTGGATCCTGACCTAGATGGATCCTGGCTTAGTTGGATCCTGGCCTAGTTGGATCCTGGCCTAGTTGATCCTGGCTTAGTTGGATCCTGACCTAGATGGATCCTGGCTTAGTTGGATCCTGGCTTAGTTGGATCCTGGCCTAGTTGGATCCTGACTTAGTTGGATCCTGGCTTAGTTGGATCTTCGCTTAGTTGGGTCCTGGCCTAGTTGATCCTGGCTTAGTTGGATCCTGGCTTAGTTGGATCCTGGCCTAGTTGGATCCTGACTTAGTTGGATCCTGGCTTAGTTGGATCTTCGCTTAGTTGGGTCCTGGCCTAGTTGATCCTGGCTTAGTTGGATCCTGGCCTAGTTGATCCTGGCTTAGTTGGATCCTGGCTTAGTTGGATCTTCGCTTAGTTGGGTCCTGGCCTAGTTGATCCTGGCTTAGTTGGATCCTGGCCTAGTTGATCCTGGCTTAGTTGGATCCTGGCTTAGTTGGATCCTGGCTTAGTTGGATCCTGGCCTAGTTGGATGCTGGCTTAGGTGGATCCTGGCTTAGTTGGATCTTCGCTTAGTTGGGTCCTGGCCTAGTTGATCCTGGCTTAGTTGGATCCTGGCCTAGTTGATCCTGGCTTAGTTGGATCCTGGCTTAGTTGGATCTTCGCTTAGTTGGGTCCTGGCCTAGTTGATCCTGGCTTAGTTGGATCCTGGCCTAGTTGATCCTGGCTTAGTTGGATCCTGGCTTAGTTGGATCCTGGCTTAGTTGGATCCTGGCCTAGTTGGATGCTGGCTTAGGTGGATCCTGGCTTAGTTGGATCTTCGCTTAGTTGGGTCCTGGCCTAGTTGATCCTGGCTTAGTTGGATCCTGGCCTAGTTGATCCTGGCTTAGTTGGATCCTGGCTTAGTTGGATCTTCGCTTAGTTGGGTCCTGGCCTAGTTGATCCTGGCTTAGTTGGATCCTGGCCTAGTTGATCCTGGCTTAGTTGAATCCTGGCTTAGTTGGATCCTGGCTTAGTTGGATCCTGGCCTAGTTGGATGCTGGCTTAGGTGGATCCTGGCTTAGTTGGATCCTGGCTTAGTTGGATCCTGGCCTAGTTGGATGCTGGCTTAGGTGGATCCTGGCTTAGTTGGATCTTCGCTTAGTTGGGTCCTGGCCTAGTTGATCCTGGCTTAGTTGGATCCTGGCCTAGTTGATCCTGGCTTAGTTGGATCCTGGCTTAGGTGGATCCTGGCTTAGTTGGATCCTGGCCTAAGATATCCTAGCTTAGTTGGATCCTGGCTTAGTTGGATCCTAGCTTAGTTGGATCCTGGCTTAGTTGGATCCTGGCTTAGTTGGATCCTAGCTTAGTTGGATCCTGGCTTAGTTGGATCCTGGCTTAGTTGGATCCTGGCCTAGTTGGATCCTGGCCTAGTTGGATCCTGGCTTAGTTGGATCCTGGCCTAGTTGATCCTGGCCTAGTTGATCCTGGCCTAGTTGGCTTCTGGCCTAAGCCAATTTTTTACCTATTATTTATTTTGATACTTTTTAAACTGCTAAATCCTTCTCTGTCATTGTTCTTCATTAGTAACGCGAATTGGAGTTATACTGTCTCTGAGGATGAAGTTGGTGAAATTTGTTTGTTAGCTAGAGCCAATTACATTATCCATTCTGAGTCATATATACGTGTCGTCGAGTTATTCTGAGAGTGATTATATAATCATTATTCATTTATATAATATTTATGTATTTTTGCAGCTATTTATCTGATGACATTCATATGTCTTGGATGTCTTCTGTTGTATAATTGCTAATATTCAGCTGTTTTGGAAAATAAATATGGGTGTGCTGATTGTTTTCTAATATTAATGCAATCAACATCTATTGACACATCCGATTGTATTTTTCTTTACAAGTTTTTCCTATCGTATATATTCAGCGCTTATTAATACATGCTGTTTATGCTCCTCTTATTAGTGCTTCATGAATACAGTATTTGTATTTAGAAAATTACCCGTTGTTTGTGTTCACGAGGACTTTTTATGTCTAAACTAATCTGTTCCTATATATTTTTTTGTTTAGATTTGTGAACATGCTAGAAATCTCGATCAAGAGGGTTACGCCTCGGCCGTCAAGATGAGGCTCTGTTAAGAGTTGACTGGTAAGCAACATCATATATCTCAGTGATAGATGTAATCTTATATTCATTAATTAGATTAAAATACAGGTGTTACAGTTACCTTCTTCGTATTCTCTGAGTCTAAGGCTGCTGGGCACCCGAGACTCTCTCCATGGGTTGTATCTTATTTGTGAGGCTACAACTCCATAAGCAAAAGCTCCTCCCTTTCCATGAACAGTATTGACAGCGTCTGTATCGGCGGGTTTTCCATCTGTCTCTCCACCAGCACCATTCTGCTTCTCTCTACACTCTCCCTCTCCTTCACCCTCTGTAACCGCCTCCTTGACTAACGTTATTCCTTGATCATTCTTCGTCACCTCTTCGTGTAGTGCCTGTTCCTTCGCTCCTTTCTCATCAGCCACTTGGCTACCAACGTCGGCTAAGTCTTTGCCGCTATGCTCGAGGTCCCCTTGCGGGCACTTCCCTGCGTCTACCCCTGCGTCTGCCCCTGCGTCTGCTCCTGTTTCACCGTCATCGTCTGCCTTGGCGCTGAACACGTCGGAGCCACGCAGGGAGTCAGGAACTACATACTGCTTCGTCTTGCCCTTGTCAGCTGATCCTTGTACTTGGTCACTGAAGTCCACCTCGCGGAACTGACTTAAACCACTGGAGGCTCTTAGTTTGGCGGATAGAGTCCGACCCGCTGGCGATCTGCTTCCTCTCTCCTCTTCATCCTTCCCAACGTCAATGTTCGTCACCCCTTCATCTACCCCCACTTTGTTGCTCCTGATTCTCGGCCATTGCATCTGGTCCATTTTCTGCTTGCCAGAGGGACAGAGGTGGACTGTTGAAGCAAACTGTGGTTCTTCGTTGTCTGGCGTGTCACCCATCGTTGCCGTAGGCCTATCTCTCGTAGGCTCTTAGACGGCTTCACCCGTGATCCTCGCGTTTTTCTTCATCTTCGTCTGCATCTGCAAAGTAAAGGAATCTTTGTTACGTGGAAAATAATTGTACAAACAAAGAAAACGTAAAATTTTGTCAATTAAATCAAATGCTTATAATGCTTATCTTCTTATATATATGCAATAACGATCACAAAAACACTGATCCAAGTATGCGGAAAAATCACATGTGAAAAATAAGGGATGCTAAACGCGTTTTCGGCTCAATTCGCTGTCATCAGAGCAAAATAGAAATTAGATTCTATTTTTGTTCCTAGATCATGTCCTATTTTTTGCTCAAAGACTGGACATAGACACCACTTGATAAAATCTAACTTAGGCTGAGGAGACTGTTCCCTGGTATTTGGAACTATCCAAACGAAGAGAGGTTATGTGAGGTCGGCCTGCTTTACCAGGAGAGGTGCAGAGTGACGGTAAACATGATCGATACCTTCAAGTGGCTAGGGGGTATCAACAGGGGTGACATGAGCAAGGTCTTCAAACCCTCATATTAGGCCAGAGCCCGAAAATGGCTATAAACTGAAAATGTTCAGATTCAAGAAGAATATTTAGTAGTACTGGTATGAATCTAGCTTGGCAGCGCCCAGCACGGGCCAGCAGGCTTTGGCAGGTTAGTGAGGCTGAGCCACTACCAGAATATTCAGATTGTAAACTCTGTGATAAATCTTTAATGCATTCACTAGAACACTATATTGTTCAATGTGAAACCGTAAAAGATTTTAGACCTCCTGGCCTATTGTAGAAACAACTGTGTAACTATTTCATTGACTCAGGTGTTCTGGACGACATCCTAACAATTTATCCAAAATTCTCTTCTCCATTTTAAACAATGAAGAACAATTTTATTTATATTATTTCTAAGCTGCATCACTTATGAACCCATCCCTGTCCTTGTGTGGTAGTGCACAATAGAAATTTGTTTTTACATATTCATATACTTAAACATTGATTGTAACCATGATATACATGTGCTTCAGCCTACAGTTTAGACCTATTGTCTTATGTGTGGCCCTCTGTCCTGTGTGACAGTGAATACCAGCATTATCCTCACGTTAATTAGACTTAATTGAAATTCTCAGATTAGGCAAAATTGTAATTAATTTCGTCAATAAAGATGTTAATAATAATAATAAAGCAGGCTCGCTGTAATTACGCCGACTTCAAATGTTCATAGGCTGCCTCTCATTGGCTAAAAAAGTCACATGACACTACAAGGGGCGAAGACGGAAGTTACGTCAGCGCTCCATCGATCGCCATCTTGTATGCCCAGAAAAATGCTATACCATACGAATTGAACATACCATTATTCTCGTTGCAAAAATGTGAACGTCCTTACAGGAGTGCAACACACCAGGCCTCTCTCGTGTTGGTTCCAGGTGTGTACGACTCTCAGCCACGTGTGTGGTGAGAGGCCGGAATGTGAGGAGAGTATATGGAGGAGAAGGAGGAGGAGGAGGCGGAGGAGAAGGTGCAGGAGGAGGAGAGCACGGAAGAGGAATAAGAGAAGAATATTTTCACAGTCTGCACCAAAACCCGTCGCTGATAATTCAAACTGTTTTTATGTATTTCTTTTAAATGGTCACTGTTATCCTGACATTGGTTAGAATAGGTTAGGTAAAGGTAGAATGGGTTAGGTAATGTTGTATTAGGTTGTAATAGGCAATGCTAATGGGATTGGGTATACACGGTTATGAAAGATAGGTTATAATTTATTTGGTAGGGTTAAGTAAGGATTTCCAGATTAAAGTTACATTTAGATATATCGTACGCTAGCTTTGGTTAGGTTAGACAAGGATAAATTTTGTTAGGGTTAGAAAGGCAATGTTAGGCTCGGATAAGCTACACTAGACAAGTTTAATGAGTTTGGACACTTATGTTAAGGTTATACTAGTTTACGCTGGGTAAAGCAAAGTTAGCATAAATTAGGCAAGGTTTTAATAGGTAAACTTTGATTAGATCAGCTTGGGATAGGTATAGGCCGAGGGGGAGGAACCTTGTGTCCTACGTAGGCAGTATTTTACCTTGTCAAGATGTTACAAGGACCTGTCTTGATTCTACATTGCTGTGCTACCCACTACCGCCCACGGGATGGGTATGGGCCCCACTACTACCTACGGGATGGGTATGGGACCCACTACCGCCCACGGGATGGGTATGGGACCCACTACCATCCACAGGATGGATATGGGACCCACTACCGCCCACAGGATGGGTATGGGACCCACTACCGCCTACAGCATGGGTATGGGACAAACTACCGCCCACAGAATGAGTATGGGACCCACTACCGCTCACAGGATGGGTATGGGACCCACTGCCGCCCACAGGATGGGTATGGGGACCACTACCGCCCACAGGATGGGTATGGGACCCACTACTGCCCACAGGATGGGTATGGGACCCACTACCGCCCACAGAATGGATATGGGACCCACTACCGCCCACAGGATGGGTATGGGACCCAATACTGCCCACAGATTGGGTATGGGACACACTACCGCCCACAGGATGGGTATGGGACCCACTACCGCCCACAGCATGGGTATGGGACAAACTACCGCCCACAGAATGAGTAAGGGACCCACTACCTCCCACAGGATGGGTATAGGACCCACTGCCGCCCACAGGATGGGTACGGGGACCACTACCCCCCACAGGATGGGTATGGGACCCACTACCGCCCACAGAATAGGTATGGGACCCACTACCGCCCACAGGATGGGTATGGGACCCACTACCGCCCACAGAATGGGTATGGGACCCACTACCGCCCACAGAATGGGTATGGGACCCACTACCGCCTACAGCATGGGTATGGGACAAACTACCGCCCACAGAATGAGTATGGGACCCACTACCGCTCACAGGATGGGTATGGGGCCCACTGCCGCCCACAGGATGGGTATGGGGACCACTACCGCCCACAGGATGGGTATGGGACCCACTACTGCCCACAGGATGGGTATGGGACCCACTACCGCCCACAGAATGGATATGGGACCCACTACCGCCCACAGGATGGGTATGGGACCCAATACTGCCCACAGAATGGGTATGGGACACACTACCGCCCACAGGATGGGTATGGGACCCACTACCGCCCACAGCATGGGTATGGGACAAACTACCGCCCACAGAATGAGTAAGGGACCCATTACCGCCCACAGGATGGGTATAGGACCCACTGCCGCCCACAGGATGGGTATGGGGACCACTACCGCCCACAGGATGGGTATGGGACCCACTACCGCCCACAGGATGGGTATGGGACCCACTACCGCCCACAGAATGGGTATGGGACCCACTACCGCCCACAGGATGGGTATGGGACCCACTACTGCCCACAGAATGGGTATGGGACACACTACCGCCCACAGAATAGGTATGGGACCCACTACCGCCCACAGGATGGGTATGGGACCCACTACCGCCCACAGAATGGGTATGGGACCCACTACCGCCCACAGGATGGGTATGGGACCCACTACCGCCCACAGAATGGGTATGAGGACCACTACCGCCCACAGGATGGGTATGGGACCCACTACCGCCCACAGGATGGGTATGAGGACCACTACCGCCCACTGGATGGGTATGTGACCCACTACCACCCACAGGATGGGTATGGGAGTCACTACCGCCTACAGGATGGGTATGGGACTCACTACCGCCCACAGGATGAGTATGGGACCCACTACCGCCCACAGGATGGTTATGGGACCCACTACCACCCACAGGATGGTTATGGGACCCACTACCGCCCACAGGATGGGTATGGGGACCACTACCGCCCACAGGATGGTTATGGGACCCACTACCGCCCACAGGATGGTTATGGGACCCACTACCGCCCACAGGATGGGTATGGGGACCACTACCGCCCACAGGATGGTTATGGGACCCACTACCGCCCACAGGATGGTTATGGGACCCACTACCGCCCACAGGATGGGTATGGGGACCACTACCACCCACAGGATGGGTATGGGACCCACTACCACCCACAGGATGGGTATGGGAGTCACTACCGCCTACAGGATGGGTATGGGACTCACTACCGCCCACAGGATGAGTATGGGACCCACTACCGCCCACAGGATGGTTATGGGACCCACTACCGCCCACAGGATGGTTATAGGACCCACTACCGCCCACAGGATGGGTATGGGGACCACTACCGCCAACAGGATGGGTATGGGGACCACTACCGCCCACAGGATGGGTATGGGGACCATTACCGCCCACAGGATGGGTATGGGGACCACTACCGCCCACAGGATGGGTATGGGTGCATAATTAATTCACTAAACCAACACATTTACCGAGTTGTGATCGTATCAATATAGAAATATTCCGGCGGCTTCATTTGGAAATAGTCTGGAGAGAAAACGTTTTTAATTTTAAGGTCTGACTATTAAAGTTTTCAATTATGGCACCAAGCCTTCGAAAGAAATTAAAAATTTATGTGAATTAGTAGTAAAACCTTCTATAACGAACAATAATATTATAATACTATTGTTCTTTATAGGCCTCCCAACATGGTACCATGAAAGTCGTATACCCTCAAGGCATAGAGTTCCTGGGTCTGGCAACACTGTTTCCAAAACAGTAAACACAACTTTGCGGTTGGCAACGGTGTGGCACGACGTCAGCTAAGGATCGTGTGAACCTCCTCCAGGTTTGGTAAGTTTGCTAAGGTGCCCCTTGGCAAACTTACCAAAGGAAGTATTAACTTACCATGTTAATTAAATGCTAATGTGAGGTTACAGCGCTTCATTACCTTGTATGTCAATGGAGCAAAGACATATGGTGTAGCCTCATAAGTTGTCGTGAAATTAGAAAACGGATATTCGCAGGCATCGTAGACTATTTTGTTTTATGGGTCCGTAGTTACCATGACGTCATCAACACGGCAACACAGAATGAGTGATTGCTGCGTCAAATATTTCAAGTATCTTCCAAGATGCATGGTGTTCTGGCAAGGACACACACACACACGCACACACACG